GCTCGCCAGACAGACAGAGAGACACAGAGAGACAGAAAGCAAGAAATCACCCCCCAGGGGGGATGGTCACACTGCAATCCCTTCTCCTCCATTCTCCTCTCGGGATCTTGGGTACACACGCACACGTGCCCAGCGTGAGTTTTAAGCCACCGGGTCCGGGAAGTGAACCACGGTCGACTACGTGGGAGTCCAGAGACATAGCCATTACGCCCACTGCTGGTTCCCATGACTTATTCTTTGCAAAAATGCATTGACTTTTCTGATGACACAATATATTGGGAACTGTGATGAATGCTTTATGCACCGTGCTATGTGAGTCTTACAGCATTCCATGAGGTAGATAATATTATTATCCCACTGTGATGAATGCTTTATGTACCGTGCTATGTGATCCTTATAGCATTCCATGAGGTAGATAATATTATTATCCTCATTTACAGATGCTGAAACTGAGGTCGTAAGTTAGTAACTAGAGGTAAATAGCCCAAAACACACATGGCCAAAATTCAAAGTCAGTTATGCTGTGGCTGAGTCATCAGCAGTCCTGAACAAAAAGGAATATGGACAGAAAGAGAAAGTGCTGGAATCAAAGAAAAGCCAGGAATAGCCATCACCAGGTAATGGAACAAGAAGTCAGATGGAGATTTAAAAAAAAAAAAAAAATTGAAGACTGGATAACACAGCTTCGGGTCTAGAGAACTTGATGAATTGATACTTTTTAAACATACAGATTAAAGAAAAATAAAAGTAAGCATTTCAATGATTAGAAGTTCAATCACTTAAAGGTGTCATAAATCTTGGGAAAGTGGCAACTAAAATTACATTTGACAGAAAGGAAACTATGACTTCTAATAGAAATAATAGAATTTGAAGCCTGCATGAGGCCTGAAAAAAATCCAAGTAATTTATCCCCAACCTTAGTCAGAATTATCATAAACCACCAAGAAAGGTATATTTTTTAAATGTTAAATGACTTTCAGAAAAAGGAAGGTTTTTCCATAATTTTCCTTAGTAACTCATTGTTGTATTTAATCATTTCACTGTCAAGAAGCTATTTCTCATACTATATCTAACCTGTAATTCTAGAGCTTTAAACCAATTTTCACATTATAGTTTCACCAGGGGGTCATGAATATCACAGTTTCTCTGTCCAACACAAGATAGACTTAACCACGACTATGGCCTCACTTCAGACGTTTGACCTCTCAACTAAATAAAGTCTCTTATTTTTAAAAATGGTTGATTTGCTTTAGTAAAACTATCTTTAATTCTCTATATTCCTTTCTTGCTATTAAATAGCTAGGCTAAATATGATACGAATGTTACTGTATGAAAACAGGATGAAGCTCCATTTTTGTACCTCACAATAAGAGTGCGAATAAAAGAAAGTACTAGGATTATGAAAATAAGATAAATTTACCAGGCATGTGAGCAGCTTGGAACTCAAAAGAACATTTAAAAGTACTCAATATTTTCCTAGAAAATATGACATTTATGCTGAGTTTTATCAACATACAGGAATAGTATCTCATAAAAGTAATGGAAAAGACATATATGTTCTCAATGTCACTGAACTAAAAGTACTACTGCAAAAATTACATGTATTTCAAAAATTTGTCTTACAAAACATTTCTAGAAAAAAAATGGATTGACACCTGGAAGTTACCAGATATAATCTCATAGGCAGACATTTAACTTTTAAGGAAGACTCTCAGTTCAGAAAAAAGTAACCTGGATTGGCTCTTACTACTTTATTAGTATGTTTTTTAGCACTATCATATATATATATAATTAATCGCAATAGAAATGTTTTCTTTGATCCAATTCAAATGAATACTACTACAGCAATTAAAGCATCCAAAAAAACAACTCCTAAAATCCTTGTCAATAATATTTATTGTGGTGGGTGTAATGTTTCCTTTTGACATACTTAATCTGAGGTCTCTTTACAGTAAAAGCTGGTTCAGCTAGAAGTCTACAAAGCACGACTCTCTGTAAGTTGGCACTTTGAAAAGTCTTTCAAACAGTGATTATGGATGATCAAAATAATGATCTTGAGAATCTGTAAGAAAATGGTCAGGACAGAATAGAAAAAGGACATAAAAGCATCATAAGAGGTTTCAGGAAACTATTTAAGCAGGGTTTGAATCAGAACATAAAAAAACTGAACAGTTTGGAACCAGCAGATAGTGTAATGGTTACATCACTGGACTCCCACATGGCCAAATGCGGTTTGAGTCCTGAATCCGGAGGCTTTTAACTCATGCCAGACTTATGCGCATGCGTGCCCAAGATCCCAGGAGGAGACTACAGAAGGGATTATGGTGTAGCCATTTCCCCTCAGGGGTGACTTCTCCCTTTCTTTCTCTCTGTCTCTCTCTGTCCATGTCTATAGCAATACTCTCTTTGGGGAAAAACAAAAAACAAACAACGTAATGGTTCAAGATAAAAAGAAAAAAGTACAAGTCATTCCTGGGAGAAGGGATCACATGAACAACAACACTGAGGACATACGGGCTGAGGACTGTCACAGTGGGATGACACACCTGAAATTAACCAAAATTCCCATCCTTATCAGACTGTGATACTACATGTATTTAAATGTCTTCAAATTTTATACCTTTTCAACAAAATACTATTCTAGAAGTGCATTTCTCTGCATTTATAATTTTAAAAGCTTGTCAGTAGAATAAATACAGTTACTAGTACTCAAACCTATTTAATACATTAATCTTAGTGGTAAGGGACAAGTTATAATACAGGAAATAATCTCCTGTCTACTAAATTAGGTTATCCCCAGGGGCTACGAGAAGCCTATCCACATAGGCACTATTTGCAGCCTCTTAAAAACGCAAGTATTAAAAATTACCCTAAATTTATGCACACCTTAATTTGGCGACTTAGTTCCTCACAAAAACCTTTGAGTATAAAGATAATAAAAACTGAAAAGAATTTTAAAAATTAGGTACCAGAGAATAGTGGCTTAACTTAGTCAGTGATTATACTTATCTATTGATAGCATACATACATCACCTAAACAATTAGAGGTTCAAAAGGAAAAAAAAAAGTCATACAACCAGATCCTTAATGAAAACTAACATTTGAAATAATACTGTGGATATATTATTACTGGGCGATAAAGTGTATGTGAGATGGTGCACCTTTAAGATTAAAAACAGATTGAAATACAATTTTTGGTTGGCTTACTTCTCGATCAAGTCCAGCTGCCACTGTGATAATATCACCAGTCTCATTGTTGATTGTAAACATATTGGGAGAAGGGGTACTTGGAGCCTGGGACAGGATTCTGTATCTCAACATCCCATTTAGTGCATTTGGATCATCAGCATCAATAGCAGTTACGGTCATTACATACGTTCCTAGAGACAGTGTACATGGAAAAGGAACGGTTAGCCTTTGCCTTCGGGCCCTCTGAACGCACATTTTACTACTTTGATGTCTTCTTTTTTCAACTTGGAAAACAAACATTTTTTTAACCATTAAACTGTGATTAAAAACCCTACTGATAAAAACAGTATTATCTGTAAAAAGGACAAAACACGGTCTAGATATTGGAAAGGAAAACTATAAAGTATACATATTCATAAAGACTCAATTTTTTTTAATACTTAGAAGACAAATTCACTGTATAATTTTAAAAAGGGTCACTTCAGACCTTAAGTTATAAAAAATGCAAATGATAAGTAATATAGACAGCATTAGAAACATATTTTATGGCTGCTGATTCCTTCCCTCTGTCATATTTTCTCCTGTTTGTGGAATAACATCGAAAGTGATATGCTGATTATGATTCTCTCCAATGCCTACGTCACTTGCTGAAAGTAAGCTGTGTGCGTAATGAGCCACACTCCATTTATTTAGGTCATAAGGAACCCTGTCATGCATTACTGTTTTGGTACATTGAATAGAGATTTGGCATTGTGGTTCATTATTTCCTGGGACATTTAAAAAAACATTGTAACCAACATAGAAGCTTCAATTTGGATATTTTGGAAAAGAAATCCACAAAACATTAGGATCACGTAAGTTCAAACTAACTGGACAAACTGTAATTAAAAATTAGAGAAAGAAGTAGTTGTTATTTAGGATGTTTTGTTCTGTGGGAATCTTCTTAAGAACTGTATTGCAGCATTTCCTAATTCTAGCCTATCTTCTTCTCAAGTACAGGAGGCTTAGTTCTATGTAAGAACTTATTTACATTTGCTGTTCTCTCTTCCTGGTACTTTTGGCCCAGAATTCACTACAGATCGATCACATCTTCACATTTCTTTTGAGAAATTGTTCTTAAATAAGGCACAATTTTTGCCTATGTACCATACCTACACTAATCTCCTCCCCCACCAAAACCTTCACTACATATTTGCTAACTTGCTTATTTTTTTTCTTATTCTTCCCCCAACTAGAATTTTAGCCCTGACAGGGCAGGAACTGTCTTGTCACTATTGTATCCATAGTGTTGGAACAAGAGCTAGCATACAACACTTGTTTTAGAAACATTTGTTAAATAATGAATGCACTATTAAAACAAAAAAATAAGTGTCAGAACCTTGAGCCAAAATATTGATCCCAACACAGTTCAACTCAGGGTTCATTACATTATCAAATCCTTCCTTGAAGGATATTTTCAAAGTTGCAAAGAGCCACAGGAGCTATATACAGTATTCATGAAATATCTTTACTTCTAGTGATTGCTGAGAATCTTTTATTTATTGGAGACTAATATAGAAAATTCTGGTTCAATTTGTATAACTATAGCTTAGTTATGGTTTAGTTTTGGTAATTTTTGTGTAGCAGTATTTTTTTTTTTTTTGAGGTTTTTGCTATAGGGCGTGTGCGCTCGCCAGACAAACAGAGAGAGACAGAAAACTAACATTTGAAATAATACTGTGGATATATTATTACTGGGCGATAAAGTGTATGTGAGACGGTGCACCTTTAAGATTAAAAACAGATTGAAATACAATTTTTGGTTGGCTTACTTCTCGATCAAGTCCAGCTGCCACTGTGATAATATCACCAGTCTCATTGTTGATTGTAAACATATTGGGAGAAGGGGTACTTGGAGCCTGGGACAGGATTCTGTATCTCAACATCCCATTTAGTGCATTTGGATCATCAGCATCAATAGCAGTTACGGTCATTACATACGTTCCTAGAGACAGTGTACATGGAAAAGGAACGGTTAGCCTTTGCCTTCGGGTCCTCTGAACGCACATTTTACTACTTTGATGTCTTCTTTTTTCAACTTGGAAAACAAACATTTTTTTAACCATTAAACTGTGATTAAAAACCCTACTGATAAAAACAGTATTATCTGTAAAAAGGACAAAACACGGTCTAGATATTGGAAAGGAAAACTATAAAGTATACATATTCATAAAGACTCAATTTTTTTTAATACTTAGAAGACAAATTCACTGTATAATTTTAAAAAGGGTCACTTCAGACCTTAAGTTATAAAAAATGCAAATGATAAGTAATATAGACAGCATTAGAAACATATTTTATGGCTGCTGATTCCTTCCCTCTGTCATATTTTCTCCTGTTTGTGGAATAACATCGAAAGTGATATGCTGATTATGATTCTCTCCAATGCCTACGTCACTTGCTGAAAGTAAGCTGTGTGCGTAATGAGCCACACTCCATTTATTTAGGTCATAAGGAACCCTGTCATGCATTACTGTTTTGGTACATTGAATAGAGATTTGGCATTGTGGTTCATTATTTCCTGGGACATTTAAAAAAACATTGTAACCAACATAGAAGCTTCAATTTGGATATTTTGGAAAAGAAATCCACAAAACATTAGGATCACGTAAGTTCAAACTAACTGGACAAACTGTAATTAAAAATTAGAGAAAGAAGTAGTTGTTATTTAGGATGTTTTGTTCTGTGGGAATCTTCTTAAGAACTGTATTGCAGCATTTCCTAATTCTAGCCTATCTTCTTCTCAAGTACAGGAGGCTTAGTTCTATGTAAGAACTTATTTACATTTGCTGTTCTCTCTTCCTGGTACTTTTGGCCCAGAATTCACTACAGATCGATCACATCTTCACATTTCTTTTGAGAAATTGTTCTTAAATAAGGCACAATTTTTGCCTATGTACCATACCTACACTAATCTCCTCCCCCACCAAAACCTTCACTACATATTTGCTAACTTGCTTATTTTTTTTCTTATTCTTCCCCCAACTAGAATTTTAGCCCTGACAGGGCAGGAACTGTCTTGTCACTATAGTATCCATAGTGTTGGAACAAGAGCTAGCATACAACACTTGTTTTAGAAACATTTGTTAAATAATGAATGCACTATTAAAACAAAAAAATAAGTGTCAGAACCTTGAGCCAAAATATTGATCCCAACACAGTTCAACTCAGGGTTCATTACATTATCAAATCCTTCCTTGAAGGATATTTTCAAAGTTGCAAAGAGCCACAGGAGCTATATACAGTATTCATGAAATATCTTTACTTCTAGTGATTGCTGAGAATCTTTTATTTATTGGAGACTAATATAGAAAATTCTGGTTCAATTTGTATAACTATAGCTTAGTTATGGTTTAGTTTTGGTAATTTTTGTGTAGCAGTATTTTTTTTTTTTTTGAGGTTTTTGCTATAGGGCGTGTGCGCTCGCCAGACAAACAGAGAGAGACAGAGGGCTAGAGAGCGAGAAATTACCCCCCAGAGGGGATGGCCATGCCACAATCCCTTCTCCTCCATTCTCCTCTTGGGATCTTGGGATCTTGGGCACGCACGCACACGTGCCTGGCGTGAGTTTAAGCCACCAGGTCCGGGACTCGAACGTGTGAGTCCAGTGACATAGCCATTACACTAACTGCTGGTCCCTGTAGCAGTATTTTTATAAAGTTTAAAACAATAGAGAAAAAAAAAGAAAAGAAATGACTTAAAAAAAAGACTTTCTGCAGCCAGAAAGTTCCGTGTTTATTTAACTTTGGAATATTTGTATAAGGCCTGTGTTTTAATAAGGATGTGTTTAACATGCTTGATTTTAGTGTCTTTTAAAATACCAAAGAAAGCTACTCTGAAAATATGACTCAGAAGGAGCCACATATGGTTGAACTTCCTGCACAGCCCGTATCCTTGCCATAGCCACCTCCAGCTCCACCCCTACTTCTTTCCTAACAATGCACACAAGCATACTTGGACAAAGAAAGAGTTTCCATTTAAGCGACAGTTGGTTATATCTAGAATAGGCTTATGCATAAGGGAGTTACACAAACTGGTATAGATGACCAAGGTATTATGTAGTATAATTTTAAATGTTGAGACATGTGTAAACACTATATATACAATGTCATTGGAAAAGTCGTGATATATTTTCCTATACAAAGATGTGTCACGATTTTTCTGACGACCCAATCTCTATGCTAATCCAATCACTTTATACACCAAATCAGCTCAGGAAGGCTAGCAAACATTTACTTTTACCATCTTTAAACTGATTATCTAGTCCATCAGTATAAGCTTTTCTGGCCTGGCTATTTTACTCTCACTGTAGTCTGCAGTGTTTTCAGTACAAGAATCTAAAATCTTAGTCAAATACTGTATGACAATCATGAGAAGCTTTCTGCAAGTGCTGTTTCTAGGCCAGGCTACTTTCTATTAGACTAGTTGAAAATAGGCCTCAGAGAAATTAGGGCCACCCTCTGCTAGTAAACAGACACTGCAGCCAGAGGGCAGCCATCACAGCTGTCACCAAGCCCCTTCCCTGCTTTTGGTTTGACTTCAACACCTGGTCCTAGGGACACCAAGTATCTTTAAGTCTTTCCAACTGCATTTGTGTTACCGCTCAGTCTCTAGTGACCTACACATGTACTTTATGAACAGGAAGCCTTTAGAGTTTTGGGGGATCATTTTCAATAAAGCAGATCTGTATTATAGATTCCATGGGGTAAAATCAAATACTGCAGCACATATTTTTTGAAGGTAGGAAAAATCACTATGGTCAGCAGAATATTTTTCTGTTTTCTCTCTCCAAGTAGTTTTTCCCTAAGTTACTTTTCTTCTTCCATTAAAGCATTATGAAAGAAAATGACATGAAAGGTTCACATACTTATCCTTTTTGGCATACATAATACTGATGGTTACACAACATTTCCTCAAGTCATTTCCAGACTGTTACATTCAAACTTACCAGGCTTAGATCCCTCAGGAACTGTTCCATTCCAGACCTGGTGTAAGAATTCGGGTCTGTTGTCATTCATATCAATAACATTGATGACAATGTCAATAGGGTTCTCCACTTGATTTCCATTTATATCTACTGCATGTGCCCTCAACTGCAAAAGTAATTAGAAAACAAAACTGCTTAACAGATTTATTTCTATGAGAAGATGAAATATTCAATCACAGTGTGACCAGAATACCAAGAATGGAATGAGAGCTGAAAATCTAAGCTGTTTTTCCCATTAAAATTTAACTTGGACATGGGGTGAATATATATATATATAAAACTAGAAATGGAATATTATTGATGATAACATGCATGATGAAGCCACTATGCAGTTTATTCTAGATGGGAAACCACATTTGGTATGTTGTGATGATGCTTAGGGGATGAATGTAAATTAATTAGTTAAAAAGAAAGTTTCAGGAGGAAAAAAAAGGCATTAGAAATACCTATTTGATGACTGCAGTTAAGCTATATAGCCCTAGTTAGGTGCTACTTTATAGTATGTTCATTCTA